GCGTCTTCTTCTTCTTCTTGCTTTACGGCGGATCGCAGACTTATAAGTGCATTACTGCCACCTATCTCTCAAATGGACCATTGACACTCCTAATTGAGATTGTAGATAGAGTGTCAATGGTCCATTTGAGAGATAGGTGGCAGTAATGCACTAATGCAATAATCAGAGGTAAAAAAAACGATATAAATACTGTTCAGTTTCTTGCACAGACCGATCGTTTCGTGTCTTTACACATCAATGTATCGTCACGAGCCGCAGGGTTTAATTTGGTTTTGTTTGTGTATGTTTTTTTACTCTCAAAGCCGTGATTTACATTCACCTCCATTATATGACTGACAGACTGCAACGGTTTGAGTTAAAAATCTCCGTTTGTGTTCTACTGAAGAAACAAAGTCACCTACATCTTGGATGCCCTGGGGGTAAGCAGATAAACATTAAAATTTCATTTTTGGGTGAACTATCCCTTTAAATGAATAAGAAACTCATATTTGGTGTGAACAAGAAACTTATTATTTTATGGAGGAAAATTAGCCAAAGCAATTGAGAAACACTGGCTTTTGTAATACCAGCATCTGCCAGCAGGGGCGAATGGACCCTCACTAACAAGACCCCCCAATCTGACCTGTGGGTCACAGAGTAATATCAGTTTGACTCACAAAGGCGAGCAGAAAACATTAGCAGGGATTTTTGACTTCCTCTCTTAAAGCGGAAAGAAAATCGAAAAGAAACTACACAGCCATTCGTTTGTTTGTTTGTGGGCGACTGCAGGTTTTTTTTTAAACTTCCGTTGTGAATGCAGAAATGCGCTGAGTCAGGAAAATGCACCCCCCCCTCCAAAAAACCAGTTCGTTCCTGTGCTCTGTCCCCTTTCTGTCTTATGCAGCCACATCCTGCCGTCTCCCTCTATCCTTCCCTCCATCTCTCTCTTTATCTGTCGTGCTCTGTGCGGCTTTGATGTGCAGCGCTGCATTCAGCACACTGAGGTTGAAATCGAGAGCTAGAAAATAAGGAAGATAAGCGTCGTTGTGCAAGACTATTGTGACTCGCAAGAGAAGACTCTGACATTGCAATATTTTATTATTATGATGCACATTTAATGCACATTCCAGTCAATATCAAAATACAGTATGCACTTTTATAAATAACAACAAACAATGTCACACCCCCATTCCACGACAGAACGTGAACGCACAGCTGAACGTTTGATCGATTCAAGTGTGCCGTCTCGTTGAACGCACTTAAAGGAATAGTTCACCCAAAAATGAAAATTTGCTGAAAGTGTCCTCAGGCCATCAGATTTGGAGAAACTTGGCATTACAGTGAATGGGTGCCGTCAGAATGAGAGTCCAAACAGCTGATAAAAACATCACAATAATCCACAAGTAATCCACAGCACTCCTGTACATCAGTTAACATCTGGAGAAGACAAAAGCTGAAACAAATCGAAATATGAAAATATGAGTCCATAATAACGTTTCTGCCAAAAGTGTTCTGGTCTGAATCAGGAGAGAAATCTGCACAGATCAAGCACTGCTCTAAACAAATATGTGGCTGGATTTTGATGCGAGAGATGACAGTTTTCACTGGAGGAAGCGTTATTATGGATCATAGACTCATATTTGAGTTAAAACCGTCTTAATGCTGGATTTGTTTCAGCTTTTGTCTTTTCCAGATGTTAACTGATGGACTGGAGTGCTGTGGATTACTTGTGGATTATTGTGATGTTTTTATCAG